AAAGGATTTTCAGCATTCCAAACTCTATAATTTTGCGAATTAACGTAGCCATTTAGATGAAACCATGCTTCATCAAAAAAAATTGACAAATCCAAAATTCTGTTGTTCATGTTGTTTTGAAACCATTCACAATATGCAACACGACGAGGATAATCAGCTGGTTTAAATTCATGGACTGACGATACTTTATAGGGATGCATATGTAATGTTCTTTTTAAAACTTTCTGACAAGTGGTGTATGGGACACCAGATTGCAAAGACAGTTTACTTAAAGATTTTTTGGGCTTTGCTCCATTCGTTCCCTCAAATCTTCGACGACCTCTTCACTAACTGGAGGCCTTCCTGGTGACTTGCCTTTAGAAACATTTCCAGTGCTGTTGAATCGGTCAACGATTCTTTTTATGTGTGTCATTAAAGACTGTTCTTCAATGTTTAATTCTGGAAATTTTGTCAAATACTCATCCTTGCAAGCTTGAACAGAATACACACATTCCCCGTCCGCATTTAACGTCCCATTTCGATAGTAAGACAACAATAAACGTATTTTGTTCAAAAGTGTACCCCATCTTAACCTAAAACAGATTTATTTGAAATATGAATACACATTAATTCATTTCTAGTTACCTTAATCCCTGTTATCAAATCGTTGTAGTTTTGATAAAAACTGGTTTAATTCAATTTATAACAAAGAAGACTGGAACAACAACACAAGTAAACAAGACGTGCGCGGAAAAGTATTATGACATATGACCAGTATGACATTCTTCTGACAGCAAAGCAAAACAAAAATTCCCCATAACTTCAGTCGACTATAATTAATAATTTTTTGAAAGTAAGAAGCGGCACATCAAAACAATTGCGTCAGCGCCTACTTCGACTACAATCATTTATGATAACCCTGTATGTCGTTGATCCAATGGGGCTCTAGAGGCGAGTCAACGATGAAAAAAAAAAACGTTAAAAATTAATTAACGTCAAAGTGACACTGCCAGAGTCAAAGCAATCATGGATTAGGCATTTCATTTTAAATTTAGATAATATCAAGTGGTACAGGGTATTAGTATTTTGGGTTGCGTAAAAATAATTTTCAGAAGTAATTCTCTCGTGACTAACCCTGTATAATACTCGATATGTATGTTTTTAAATGTCTTTTGCTGTTGCCCTGTCAGAAATGTTAATTTTCGATTGAACATGCCATTTTGTAAAATGAACTGAAAAACACTTTACATAATTAACTAATAACAATAAAACATTCCGAAGCATGTATATATATATTAATCAGATATCTAGTAACTATAGTTAACATTACTTATTGGTTACATAACCGTAGTACTCCATTGTGATGTTACAAGGCTTACCTGCCAACTATATCGCTGCGACACAATAATGAGATATCTAGTAAATGCAGTTAACATTAGGTGTTAGTTACATAACAGGAGTACCACAGTGTGATGTTTAAATGCTTATATGCAAGCTATATCGCTGCGACATAATAATGAGATATCTAGTAAATGTAGTCAACATTACGTGTTGGTTACATAGCATGACTACTCCATTGTGATGTTATATAGCTTACGTTCCAGGTACATCGTTAAGACATAATCATGCGATGTACTTATTGTTCTTTTGTGAGTACGTACCTGTCACGTCACAACTGTGTTTACTGGGAATGTATGTTGTTTAAAAATTTACGGATTCTTGTAAACGTTTTTTAAGTTAGTGGGCCTTTTAACACTACCATCTTTAGATATTTACAATTTGGACGTGTTTGTCAAGGAAAATGATCATCTTCTTTAAAAACAACGGTAGTTACAATATAAAGAATTTAAATTACAAACAAGATTTTCTAATTACTATCAAATACCACAACACCAAATGACATTATTTGTAATACTACAATGTAATAAAATAGTATATTATTAACCAATGTTGTGAAGACAATCATTCTAGGCCAATTTCTTGTAGCGAAATGAGGATTTTTTTTAAACTAAACTCCGCCCTTCAGCTCATGATCTATAAAACATTCATCACAATAGAGAAGGAGTGGGTGGGCGGGGGCTTATATTATGTCCATTTTTTTCTTAATATACGAAGTATTTTTTTCTGAACAAGAAACCGAAAATATGTTTAACTTTCCTGTTTTAGAAAGAAAACTGTAATATGTATATAAAAAAAAAAACAAAAATTAAGCCCCACCGACACGCCCCGATCTCAATTGTGATGAGTTTTTCATTCCTAATCAGACTGAAGGGCGGAGTTTAATTGTAACATCAATATTTCTCTAAAAAAATCTACCCTTTTAAAAACATATTTCATAATATGATAATTTCTTGTAAAGAAATGAGCATTTTGCAGCTAACTAAACTCCACCCTTCAGCTCACAATGAATAAAGCATTCATCACAATTGAGAAGGGTTAGATGGGCGGGGCTTATATTGTGTCTATTTTGTTTTATTAAGTAGGTATACGAAGTTTTCTTTTCCCAATCAGAAACTGACAACATGTTTAATTATCCTGTTGTTGAAAGAAATCTGTATATATTAAAAAGAACAAAACAAAAATTAAGCCCCATCCACCTGCCCGGATCTCAGTTGTGATGATTTTTTCATTCCTAATCAGTTCGAAGGGCGGAGTTTAATTGTACCATCATTATTTCTCTAAAAAATTCTACCCTTTTAAAAACATATTTAATATGATAATTTCTTGTAGAGAAATGAGGATTTTGCAACTAAACTCCGCCCTTCAGCTCACGATGAATAAAGTATTCACCACAATTGAGAAATGTGGTTAATATACTATTTTTTTCACTAGTAGAAACCGCACGATAATAATTCGAAAAAATAATCCTTCAATTTTTTGACGCAAAATGATTTTGTTTTGATTTCTAATCGAACTTAACCTAAATCTGCAACAAAAAGAAAACGGTTTACACTTGTGGCTGAATTAATCATTTTATCTTCCACCGTCTACCAACTACCATGCGTATACTCAAGTAATGTTAGTAGCATACATTTATTCATTTTTTAAGAAATAATTACCATAGATTAATATAGATGCGACATAGAGGCTGATTTTACAAAACCACCCTTATTGACATTGGAGTCCTCAACCACCAAAGGCAAGCGCCAAATTTAAATACTTAGTCGATGCCAATAAACACTTTGCTTCACTACAATTGTAATTCCTATGACCTGAATGAAAGTGAAGGAAACAGTAAGCAGCTTGTAATATTCTGGTAAATCTAATGTCAATTTGTCGAAAATAAAACGCGTCGTTAAAAATATTATGACATTTCTTTAAGTTACTTTTATTCCTAGTTAGAAACAAACACTGCTACCAACATAAATTGGGAAGTCCTCAACCGTAATTTAATTTAAACTATCACGCTTCTCTATGTTCACTGTAATTGCATCATATTTCATCTAACTCAATCTTCTTTTTTAACCTTGGTAGTAAAAGCTGAACTTTACTACCTAGAAACAAGTCGATAATTGCATGCTTCATTGCTACTAGCGAAAAAAAGTTTTTAACTGTACTCCAGATTATGTAAAGACAGCCACGTCAGTTGCGCTCTTCAAAAAAACTACTTAAGGAACCTGCTATATGTTGTATTTGCAATGTTAAGACCCGATTTATAGAAGGTGAGTTAAATATTTGATTGTGATTACATTTTTAACACGACGTTAAAGTACCACGTGACTGACTCTACACCAATTAGACGTCGCTGAACACCTGGATAAATGAACAATTAACTTAATCTCTGTTAAAATATTATATAAACTGGCCCTAAAGATCACTATAATGAGCGTGGAGGGCCGGATGAGATAACAGGCAGAGAGGCAGACTATTTCGCCCACATTATGTCATAAGCGAAGTTTGTTAAGCTACCTGCAACCGCTGCCACCAAATTCATCCTCCGTTAGAATAACTAGCAACTAGCACTAGTTTATGTCATAAGCTTGTGGTGCCCACGCAGGTAACCACTTATTATTGTAGTGTCAGCGTTTGTCTGCTCATCGATCTTGTCCTCGTAACAGGAGACATTTTTTTTTAATTATATTTACTTAAGTATAATGAATAAATAGTGATACGAATTATGTCCACACCTAAAAAGAAAATCTCTCTTTTGTGAACAAACATGATTCTGAATATTTACAAACATGTGCCAACATGCATCACATAGAATTGAAAATGAGGTCAAAGTAAATGCACAGACTGCAACTGGTGGACGTTTTTAATAATTCAAGAACAGAGAATATACTTGCCATAATATTATCCGAGGAGAATGTCGTTAAACCACTTAAAAAATGTCAAAGGAAGAGTTTCTCACTAGAAAACGACGTTATGTAGTGGAGAAGAAAGTATTTAACCTCTGTTAAATAGGAATATATGTTGATTATTCGGTTCGCGATAACACTATCCTCGTACTATAAGGTTTATTTATTAGTTTTCGGCGTTGCGGGGTAACAAACGTACAATATTGTGTTAAATAGTGTTGGCAAAAATTAACTCTAGAAAATATGCTTAGTTGAATGAGACTGTAATATAATATAACCCAAGACTGATACGATTTCCGAATGTTTTGAAACAGTCTTAGAACGAAGGCGCTTCAAACTTCATGATGATGAAGTATTAAAGATTGTCAGAAAGTAATAGAGGCGGTTATTCACTTTATGAAATTTTAAATAGAACGAAACACAGTTGTAATAATGGACAACGCGTTATGACGGTGTTCGTGCAAAACAATAAAAATCAAAGTATGTGCTAAAATATAAAAAAAAATCGGTCCAAATGAAGTACAAATTAGGAGTAGAGTTTTTGCGCATTCAATGAATTTATATTTTTGGCTATATGTTGCATTATTTGTTTTTTCCGGTGGTAGGTATTTATAAAAGACCTAATTAACAATGATGTTGCAAAAGCGAGGGAAGATCTATGTAAATAAATTTACCGATTTTTTTTTTAGATCTCTTGTTAGTCGTTCTAGCGATTCTACTTACATCTAACTTCCGGATTGAGTATAGCCGGCTCAATTAACTCCCACTGTATTGGCGGCTCAGTGGTTGTAATCGAGTGGTGGTGGTGCCTCCTCCTCTCCGACTCGACACTCTTCTCGTAGCTTTTGTAGTAAATATCGTACATTCTGGCCACGCAGCGTATTTTCAGACGGTGCCTTTCGAACGACTGCTTGGTAATCTTCATCCTCAACACTGAATGGGCTCTGGAACGCAAAAAAACAAACGCACTTACTATACCATTTTGTATTCGGGACGCGTGAGTCCGCCCTACAAATCGACGGGACGTTTAAATTTCGTTTTCGGCTAACGAACGGATTTACTATGGTCGGTGTAATTGGGGTCCGGTGCGATGTAGGTATGTCGGTAATGAAATCCGAATGTAGTGTGTTTTTTTGTTGCGTATATTGGAATTAGATTGTTGGTTGTGGGCATAATTTCTCGCCGGTTGTGAATGCACTGCACAGTTATTCCGATAGCGTGCTACAAATTGGTTTTCCCATCGCTGTGTTGGGAACGTGCAGCGTAATGTTGTTATTGTTTCCAATATTCGACGCCCTGTGAGTCTTTCAACCAGAAATGAAAGACGGCTTTCATCATAATTAACCTTTTATATTGCTTTCTATTCTTTGGTGCTAATAGCGACGCGATTTTTAAATAAGCAGCGAAAGTAATAAACAGAAAGAAAAGGTATACTATTTCCTGTGTGTGTACCTAATGTTATATATCTTTCCAGGTACCAGTTTACGAAGATGAATTATCGGCAATTTATTTAATAATAATAGCTATGTGTGACTTTCATGTTAGACGTGTTTTTACTACAACCATTGTTTGGCATCGTAACAAACAGGCGCTGAAAGTTAACCTTGCAACAAAAAAGTTTTAAGCGTTAATAATTAACGTCGGCCTTACTCTGCAGCAAAGGTTAGAATAATGGTTTAATGTATTTTCAATAACGAATATTTGAAGCTTTTATTTTGATCACAAATTAGAAATTTATTGGTGTTCTCTAAGATAACTCTAAAGCGTTATCAACACAGAAATCACTCCACTGGATTTTCGTTTTTAATGAAAAAATAACGCACTAGTTCGCCCTAAAAGGACTTTTTGATTTTGTAGCGGAAAATATGCAAATTATTGAAATGTTTTCAGTCTGTTCTGAAATAAAGCCTGCTATAGGGTGAGTAGTTGTATAAAAAAAAACTTTTATAAACTATCGAATGTGTCTTTGCGTTCTAGATTGCTAGGAAATACCGATGAGTAGAGAGCGGAAAATATGCACCAAAATTTTGAGAAATATGATCATATGATATGCACCAAATTTATGCACATATGCAGTAACTTTCTTAATATATGCAGAGATATGCAGATGCATATGCTCCAAAAATTAAAAAAAAAGCGAACTAAATTTATTTATAAAATACAAAAACAGGGTTCCCGAGCTTACGTTTTATTACAAAAAATACAGAAATCACATTGCAAAGTGTTTAATTACATCTCACTAACACATAAATCACGTTTTTAAAGATATTATTCTTATACTAAAAAATAAATATTTATAAATAGGACAAATTAAAAAATAGTAGTAATCCACTATTTAATTACTATTTTGGTAACAATTTATTTTTAGATTTTTTTCGAAATATTCTAACAAAAAGTTTTTCCGGTGATTCTAAAATAAGTATAAGTATTTGCAAATAGAAAAACTGCGTACTACGTCCGCAGATGTAAAAATACTTACCGGTTTAGGGCAGGCGCGACAAAACACAGTTCGTTCTTGAAGAATAAGTTCAGGAAAAGGTTTAATTCATACATTAATTTGAGTTCTCTTCGACATATTGATTCACCTGTATCCCTTTAATTGCTTTCAATACAAACTCACGATGAAAAATAATAGTATAACGTCCCTTAGACCACCACTTAACCAACGAACAAAAATTTTGAGAATGAACGGTATTTCCAAAAGTAATTACGGCGCGAATTTACCTGGAAGGATGGCTTAATACCCAGTGGTGTTTCCAAACTACCATAAAACCCAAACCTTTCCTAGTTATTTTAAACTCAGGACAATATCTGCAATATGATTCATAAAATTTCGTCTTTCTAGATAAATTCCGATAGAATGACGATAATTTTTTTTTCAAATTAGTACAAAAATTGATAAAAATGCAAAATATGCACCCGTTTGGTGAAATATGCAGCAGAAGGCAAATATATGCAAATATGCAATTTTTTTATAGCTGTATTCATTTTTAATTAGCATGATTCGTTCACATATTAAATATCAAGACTTATATGCAAAAAATAACAGATATGCAAATTTCATAAAATCCGCTCTCTACCGATGAGTTTATTTTAATTGTGGATAGATGTGGTAAGATAAGAGAATATTTTATAAATTTTAATTTTGATTATTTTAAGACATTTATTTGCACCCTAGACACTGTAAAATTCTACGTCCACGAACCGAAACTAGCACTTTTGATTACAGATAATTTTGATACACAATTTACCTGTAGAAATGAACTACAGAGATACTCTTCAAACCTAGAAAAAACTTTGAGTGAAATTACCAGTTAATATCATTTAAGCAAGATTCGAATGAAAATATCGGGTGTCACATACTAAAGTTGTATGGCTCTTTGAGTAGCAAACATTGTTTTGTTTTCGAGCCATTGCCCATTTTTTTTTTTTGTAAATTAGAATACTTTATATTTTTAGACATTCTTACGCTCCATAAATATAGTTTATTTTTGAAATTCCAAAGCGACGTTATCACGTTATTTCAAATTTTTTGAATTTTTTTAGCAATAGCAGGGTTCACAGAAAAATCATAATAACATTATTTTTAAGATTTCTATTGTAATATTTTATGGAGAGATAAACACAGGTACGCGCTTTGTTATGGTATCAATTAAATAAAATTTTAATATCCAGAGCAGGTTTATTACAGTTTGGAAAGAAACACCTGTTTGTCATATACATAAAAGTGGTAGCCTATCAGCTATAGAGAATTATTATAGACCCATTTCAGTTTTATCTAACGTTGCAAAAATTATCAAAGACGCTATTAAGTTAAGAGTTAGGTCAAAACAAGCAAGTAGATGTAGCATACAGGGTGATTTCGAAATATATGCAACAATTTTTGACCACGGCATCGCGTACCGTAGTAATATGGAAATGTAGAAAAAAACAGATTCAAAGTTGAATGGGGCAAAACCCCCATGAATCACCCTCGATGCGATGCCACTGATCACCTTCTAAAGATTGTCGGTGGAAAAACGTTCAAATAAAAACGATGTAAACACTTTCAGTTTCAACTAAAAGTAAACCGACTTTTTGCTGGTTATCATTCGGTTATTCATGCATTTATTCTTCGTTAAAGGCGAACGCGAAAGGTTATTAGATTTAGAAACAAATGGTGGTCCTGAGAAGGTCTGATTTTTGGTAATGCTTCATGGTGATCGACTTCTTATTCTGACGGTCCTTGCCACAACGATTCCACATGTTTATTAGAACAAAAATAAGAGGAACTTAGAATGCGACTACCTTTTACAATAAATGTTGAAAATGTTGTCCTTGACTTGCAGTACAGGCTTCAGCACGTTTCAACACGTTTGCACGGATACGTAAAAAAATGCGGGAGTTTTACGAACTGTAGCCGCTGCCACTTTCATTCGTTCTTGAAGCTCTTCGATAGTTTGTGGACACTGCTGATTTTCATAAAATAACTGTTTCCTCCAACCAATAGGGGCCCACACATTTATGGAAAACCGTCTTTGAAATCGTACTTCTTGACAAGCGTGTGGATTTTCATCGGACCAAATATCAGTGTTATGGCTGTTGAAAACAGCATTGCGAGTGAATCCTTTTTCATTCGTAAACATAATGCAATTTAAAAAGTTAGAGCGTTCATAACATTGCTGTAACAACCATCCGCAGTAAATTACACGACGTGGAAAATCAGCGGACTCCAAAACTTTGCACTTTTTGAACATGGTATGGATGTAGGCCTTGTTCTTTTATTGTAGGATGCACTACAATCTGTGAAACTCCAATTTCAGCTGCAAGTTGGCGAGTGCTGATGTCGGGTTCTTCTTCAACGCGTTCCAGAATTTGTTCTTTAGCTTGCACTATGCTTTCGGTCCTATCACGGTCACGATCGTGAGTTTGAGGCTTGAAGGTACCATAATCTCCGAGATGCTGATGTAAATGTTCGCGCACATGGAATTGCGCAATTTTGAAGCCTGGCGTTTTCATCTGCCACACCATAAAGCATTACCGTGTCGACACATCCTGAATTGGAAAAAATCACTATTGTCAAACGACTAACACACGACCGCAACGATCTGATACATCCACATTGTGTTTTTGCGCGTTGCTTATCAGTGCACCGCTTCTTTGGTTCTTAATCCTATGGTTATATGCCATTCATTGTGGTAGTTATGGTGGGTCAAGGAACACTACTAAAGGCGTGTTTAAAAATTTATATTTAATTATCAATAATTTTTTCTAGACCACTTCGTAATGTAAACTTTCACAGTGCAATAAATCTTATTGTGAGCTATTAATACAAAATTGTTTAAATTTTACTGCAAATATCTGTAAATAAATATTATATCAAAAGATTCTGTGCAGTTTTCTTTCTTTTTACTTCCTAAATGTAAACTAAAGAAGTCTTGTAATTGAGTCTACTGGCCACTGTTTAGTTTAATATTTTCTCGATGGATCATGACCAGATTTCGGCATTGCGGAAGTGATGCTCATTGCTGTCCGATCGCCAGCTCTACTGCAGTTGTGGCTACAACTTCGGGAATTCTTAATAACAATTACTACTTTTTCTAGGTTTTCCTAAGTTATACGAGTTCTCCTAGACGTTAAAATGTTTTAAAAATTAAAAATGACTGTTCAACATAATAATTTTCGTGATTATTTTGATCAGATAAAACCTGAATTGCATCAAACGCCACTGAGGTTGAGACTGCACAGTCGGCCAGCAAAATATATCCTGACGTCGCGTCGTCGTTTTTAATATTTGTCTGATTGATTCCCCATCACTTCGGCTGTGTCTAACTCTGATCATGACCTCTAGAGTACGGTAAAATATGTTTCCGGTTTCCGTCTGCCTGTCTGTTTGTCCGCCGTCCGTGTGGATTTTTGTTAGATAGATAATGTCCGAAACTACTGGACCGATTGTTATCACATT